GCACGAGTGTTCTGCCAACCCCCAAGTGCTTTATGACTGCACACAGCACAGCAAGCAAGTTTTTTATTTCTTTTATAAAATACAAATTACAATAATAGATAGTAATGACGCAACGGAAAGTGCGCGCGCGTGCAATGTGCTCTCATAAAGCACGCGCTCCAAACCAATCAGAAAGCGACATTCATAACAGTTATTCTATAAACTGATTTAGAGGTATCTCTTGCGAACTATTCCTTTACTTGATCTAGGGGTATCCATTACCTGATTTAGAAGTATCCCTTACCTTAACCAAGAGTACTCCTTAACCTGCTTTTGAAGTATCCCTCATCTGAACTAGGGAGTATCCCTTACTTGAACTAGAAGTATGATAATCCCTTAACCTGATTTAAGAGTCTCCCTTAACCTGATTTAGGAGTATCCCTTACCCAGCTTACCTGAACTAGGGGTAATTTTAACCTGATTAGCATTACCATTAAGCATTACCAAGCTTACATGAAATATATATTCACACGGATAAATAATTTCAGCACAGAAGTGCCCATTTCGTGCTTTGCATGCAACTTGCAACAAAACCCGTTTACCATTATTTTTAAAAATAGTGGTACTATTAGAAAGTTTGCTCATGATTAGGGACCAGTGCCGGATTATTTAATGCCTGCTGGAAATTTTCAATTTTTCAACGAAAACTAAAACGGGTTTTTATCGACTGAAAGTTAAGTTAAGAAGAAAAAAAGAAAAGACTACCAAAAACATTTATTATTAGGCATAATAGGTCACCCATCCATGTACTAACTTCGCCTTATCGGACTTGACCCAGTAGTGATAGAAGTCCAAGTTTTTTTCCACTGGACCACGGTTGCAGGTGAATCATCATAACAATAGCCGTGAAAACAATGCACTGAATAGACCAGACTTTTCGACATTAAATTTTCAACCGATTCCGTGCGTGGCAGAGATGCAAGGGATTAGCCGATATGGTCTGGGGGCCGGCTGGTCTCTCCCCTGAAGCTTCGGCTAGAACATTTTCTTGCGTAATTCGTACACCCAAGGGCAGAAGGATTTAATTGCCGTCAGGTCCGAAGTCCATACGCCGCCTCAGCTCTGCGGATGTCTCGGGGGTATGGCACAGTGGAATCGATTTTTTCAAAAATTTCTGTAGGTGATTTTATTATTATTTTACATATTATTATCAATTTGGCAATATCTTTTTACAAAGAATGACTACCCTATTCCTTTTGTTGATATTCAAATTTATAAGTTAAGTAAGCAACCTCGATCGGAAAAATCAAATGTATATTTCCCTGATATAAAATGCCAGGGGTACAGTTCACTGACAATAGCTTTTACCATGTTTACTCCACTATGACTTGGCTTTATTTGTAGCACTGCCACTGGTCCTGTATTAGCTTCCGTAAGTATTTAGATTTGTGTTCTTGTCTTTGGATTTTTGTTATCGTATTTGGATTTATGTTTGTGTGTTGCACCTCTAATCCACTGAGCTCCACTATCGTATAAGAGGACAGCCACAACCTCTAGAAGAAAATAAACATAAACWTCCGGGTCTGGATTGGGCTTCCTGTGTTGTTTGTGAACTATCTGCTAGCTTCGGGACATCTTGCCTCGGCAGATCAGGTCATTTCAGCATTTTCTCGATCAGTTTTTCATTTCAATACTCGTTTATGTGTGTAAATGAGACATATTTCTTCCATGCAAGAATATCGTATTCCATAGAAAACTAGGCGTAGGTTCAATACTTTGTTCTTACACGAAGAAGCATTTGAAATGGATTCCAATACATCATCAAACAAGACCCCGTAAGTGAAACTATAGAAATACTTTATTTATTTTTGATACTTGTAGATCCACAATATTATGTTCCTTAGCATTATCACATCTATTTTGAACTGCATGTCTACCAAAGCAGATATTTTTTAATTATTAATAATTCATTTCAAAAGAGGGTTGTGATCTTTCTGAACAAGTTTGTSAGACTAGATCTGCATTTGCTCAGGTCCTAATAAAAGGTCATCAAGCTATAAAAGAATTCCGTGGAATATTTTATCCTTGCTGGGTTTAAATGCCCAATTTATTACCTTATTGTTATGGTTTGTTTAAACACCTTTACCTATTGTTATAGGTGTTTCAGCTTGAGACCTTTTAAACGACAGACAGCTTTATCCTTTGGTCATGCATGTATATGTTTATTTAGCACTAATATGATTGAGTTGTTATGCGTATTATTWAGCTGCTCTCTTATTAAGCAGTACTTAAAGCTCGCTTTTTATAAGCTGAAATACCTATATATAGTTAATAGTAAAATAATGCTCATGATCAACGGAAGAATGGATATAATTTTTCATTTTATGATCAGTCATCGGATTTTATGAGTTTCAATAGCAAATATTGAAGTTACACTCAATTGCCTTCAAACTATTGCTGATTTTCGGTCATTTTCTATACATTTCATTGAATTGACCCAAATTGCCTCGACTTGAAATGATTGTTTTGTTTGAAGGCATTGAATTGTAACTCTAAAATCTGCTATTGCAGGGGCCATGATGTAATTTTGATTTGGGGAGAGGGAGGGTGGGGGGTGAACGAACATTAAAGGTGGCAGCATTTAGGGGGGTCCGTGGGAGGCCCCACTGGAATAGTTTTAAACTGAGACCCATTTAAAGTTTGATTTCTAGCGTTTTGAGGGGCATTTAAAACGTATTTATTGCATTGGCTATTAATATTTTAAATTGCAACTAAGTAATTCAAAATATGGTTGCACAATCATTGAGGAGCTATACCCCCCAGCAGCCTAGCCCCCCAGCAGCCCTCCCCCCACAAAGCTCTGTGGTCCCTGCATTGCTAGGTTTCAGTCAGCTGTTAAAAGTCTTTGAATCCCATTGTCTACTTTAAAATTATTTTGTTTGTACTTTTTTGCTGTTTTTGATTAATTTGATTATTTTTTTGCTTTTTATTTGTTTATAGTGTTGATGAATCCATTG